TGGTGTAGAAAGAGTCAATACCTTTTAAGTAATGCGAAATAATGTGAAATACCCAAGAACTGACGAAACATTTGGGGGGTGGTTTGGCCCCTACGTGGATTGATCCACGAATGGCTGGTGGTATGGCATCAGTGGAGTGAAGTTTGCGATAAGTGGAGTCGCTGATCTTATGTCGATTCTTCGGGGCGAGAAGCCTTTTGTTACGTTCACGTTCAATCCTCTTGAAAGAGAATTTGGAGACTACTGAACACATTTATCTAGGACAACAAAACAGTTTACTTTATCGGCTTTCATCAAAATCCTAGTCTCGTCTTTTTTTTTAAATCTTAAAGGGCTTTTCTTTCATCAGCACTGAGGTTCTTATGGGAAGGAGGTCGTGCTTTATGAAGGATCGTAGCCGTGAAGTTACGAATAAAAACCTTCGATTCTTCAGGTAGATGGTTGATCGCGGCTTCTACTTCAGCAACAATGTTCTTGTGTGGGATTTGGTTACGAGTTGGGGCAAACTTAGCGCCCTTTTCCAGGAGAGATCGTTTGACAACAGTAAGAGGTTGTTTTGGATAAGTTAACAACCCAATTGCTCTTGTCAACAAGGTTCGGGGATGGAATAAATTCGTTGTATAGATTACCGAGCTTTTTGGCGTGTCTGGTATCGATATTATTGCGAACGGCTTGGGCTCTTCTCTTTATCATTTTGCATTCCATTTTTTATCCGTCGAAGGCTGTAGATTGACAGACGAAAGCTCATGTTCCTTTTTGAAATTTTTTAGCCAGCGAACGTTTTTATCGTAATTTTGATCATGAAACACTCAAAAGAGTGTAGAAAGTTGAGTGCAAAAAGTTGAACTTGAGTGCAATTGTTTTGTTTTTTTTGACAATTAAACTTTTGTAAACTTTTGTGTTTTTTTAAACAGTTAAAACGTTCTCTGTTTGAAAATTTCTATTAGAATATTTTGGTTGCCAAACTTCAGTCTTTGACGAATGACGAAAAGACGCGAATGAACAAAGTGTGAAAAAATACAGAATAAAAATGCCTAACTCAAATGATGACAGCAAACGGGAATTTGTGTAATGAAAAGAGACTAATTTAAAAGAATAGCGTACTGTCTTGGCAGTGGTCTAGAATTATTGTCCGCCTCATTAGTCATGGCGCTCGTCCCCAGATCGAGCGGTCCAGGTTCGAGCCCTGGTCGGGGACAGTGTGTTGTGTTCTTGGGCCAGACAATTAATTCTCACATTGCTTCTCCCCACCAAGGTGTACAAATGGGTACTGGCGAATTTAATGCTGGGGGTAACCTTGCAATGGACTAGCATCCCATCCAGGGGGGAGTAGAAATATTCTCAGTCGCTCCACGCTACAGAAACCGGGATAAGCTCCGGCCTGATGGGCCACTTGGCTCGTATGCAGACTTTGCCTTTACCTACCTCATTAGTCATGAAAGTGTGCCATGACTCGACAGTTTTTCGGACTGTTTTCTTTTCTTTTTTTTCTTTTTTTTCACTTTTGGAGGTATCTTGCTGGAAGAAATGTCCATTTAAAGGAAAAACATAATAACTCAGTCATAACAGTATGATTTGACTGAAAACCTGCATTTTTATCCAAAAGGGCCACCAAAATAATAACGATAACGATTCTGTTCATCAACAGGATATTCCATGCCTGCTAACATGACGAGTAATTCTACAGAAGCGCCTCCTGTGGGTTTCCAGGTCCCTCGCAACATTCAGATGGAAGTTACAATCCTTGCCGTCATTCTTTTCATCCTGGCAATGATCGGTAATACTCTGGTGATTTACATCGTCTTCACAGTAAACCACATGCGCAGCTCAACAAACATTCTCATCGCCAACATGGCCTTTGCCGATCTTCTCATGACCATAGATATTCCGTACATACTCAAATGGTTCTACGTGATGAGCAGTTGGTTTGGCACGTTCATGGGCACTGTGTTATGCAAGTTCTTTCACGCTGCTCAGGTGGGATCCCTTGCAGCCTCGGTGTTCAGTCTAGTGGTGATTTCCCTCGATCGCAGTTTTGCTATCCTATGTCCCATGAAAAAAATAATGACTCGAAACGTTGTGCGTTTCGCGATCGCCATGACGTGGCTAGGTGCGCTTGCGTTAATGTTTCCAGTCATGATAGCCACCAAGAATATACAGCTGGAGGGAGGGGATGGTATGATATGCAACGAATATTGGGCACCGATGTCATCCAAAGTCTACATCACAGTCCTTATCGTTATTGCCTACGTTATTCCACTGATAATCATCGCCTTAGTCTACTGTCTGGCTGGGTTACGTCTTCGTAGCAGAAAACTCCCAGGGCATCAAAATCCGACAGCACAGAAAAAAGTCCAAGCCTCGAGCAGACGCGCGACTACAATGTTGATAACAGTGGTTATCATTTTCACTCTGTCGTGGCTTCCGTTTCAAACACTTGAGATGATGAGAACTTACAATTCAACCCTTTTCCGCAAAATTCCCATGAAAGTCCGTTTTGTCATCCCGTGGTTTGGTTATTGTAACAGCGCTATCAATCCAGTTCTTTATGTGATATTCTCAGGAAATTATCGCCGCGAGTTTTATCGAATTCTCTGCAGGGGGACAAGTCAGCAAAGCCGTTCTAAGGTGATTGTTGCTGGTGGATACACTCCGCGTAAAAGACGACATCATGCCAGTGCAGAACCAAGACAGCTGGAGTGGGACACTCCTCTTTAACCTGAAAGCAAACAGGCAGGACAGCCAACCAAGCAACCGACCGACCGATGGACAGACTGACAGGCAGGCAAGTAGACGTACTTGCTGATTAGATGGTTTGCTTAATGACTGGATGACTGACTTGTTGACTGACAAACAGACAGACAGACAGACAGACAGGCAGAGGAGCTTGTGCGAGCAAGCTGGAAGCAGGCTCACTGGGTGGTTGGCTGGCTTGCTGAATGACTGGCAGACGACTATTGACAGACAGACCGACAGACAGACAGACAGACAGACAAATAGAGAGATGGACAGAAAGACAGTTACGGAAACAAAACCTAACAGTAGTGAGGGGCTCATGATTCGCACCTCTTTGGGGGAACCCATTTACATAAAGTGGGTATCCGGAACACGATGACGTCACAGAGCATTATAAGTTGGCGCGCACAGTCTTTGTTAATCTATTACGGAATAAAGTAAGTCGAAGCGCGCGAAGACAGACAAAAATGACAATGATTGCTTGAGACATATTGCTCAACCCTAATGCTTGGGACAGTAGGTTCACTCAAGCTTGCCCGCTCTCTACCCACGCCGATTGGACAGTAAAGACTATTATGTTTTTCAAATAAAAGCGCGCTTCCATTTAAGGGACCGTTCATTTTTTATCAGGTAGGGGGGGCTGGTGGGATTTGGGGGGGGGGCCATGCGAAAAAAATGGCTTTCGAGGGGGGGCCATCCCAAA